AAGCACTAGGAGCCCTTTTCCAGGACTGCTGTACAGTACTCCTGTACTAGCAAAGCACTCCTAGTATGCCCATTGCCACAGATGCAGCTTGTGCTAACTGGAGACGACCATAAGCTGTATTTTCACACTACTTAACTCCATCTATGCTTGTGGGGGCGGGGGGTTGCTGGTGCGCTAATACAGGTATAATTCTTCTAGGTAAACCCTCCAAGTGTAGACAATGCTTTAGAAGAACATTTTGAGTTGTTCTCATTGCTAAATATTCCCGTTTTTGTTTAGAGGACAGTGTTTCCTTGTCTAAGACCATCAGTAATGAGCAAGTCTGTTATTGATCAGGTTGTGAGAGGTAGGTTTGGAAGAGAACAAAATGTAAGGTATTGCCAAAAAGACAAGTTACATCTGCATTTAAAATGCATCTGGGCATAAAATAGCATTCTCATGTGCACATCATGTAAATTAAAATAGAAACACTTTTTAAAAGGCATGTACTGTATGTACTGGAATATAAGATGATCCCTTCCCCCAGTTATTAGGTTCTTTATATGAAAAATTTATAAATTTGGTAAATTTTCCAGGTATACAATCTAATTATTGGAGGTTTGCCTTAATTTTGCCCCCTTCCCACTGCTACAGCAGGGAAAATAAATCTGGAGGTCAGGTAGCACCCTTGCCCTCTGCCTCCTAAATTCTTCCCTCTGTAGCCCCTCCTCCCCTTACTGTGAGACCCTGCTGTCCTTGAGCACGTGGAAGTGAGGAGCAAATTTGTCAATTCTGACCTTGAAATAAACATACTTGGAATAATTTGCATATAAGTAAGTTATTGCAGGTACCCATGGACTTAGTTCATACAGAATTTATTAATTTTACCTTTTTTTTTTTTAAACTGCTGCAAGTTTTAGCACAGGTATTCCATAAACATGCTTTTAAGTAACATTTGTATATGCATGATATTACAGTAAAAGCTTTATCTGGCATGAGTGGGGTAAGGGGGATGCCAGTTATCTAAACATAATGGTTATCTGAGAGTTATATGGAAGACAGTGCCACACTTGTAGTGCAAATACTTGATGCGCCATGTGCATGCCATATAGACTCGGCAAAGATTCTGGTTGCCCAGATCCTTAGATCAGGGTGGGCAGTAACATCTTGGGAGCTGGTGTAGGAACCAGCAAGGAGAATGACATCCAGAGGTTTGGGTAGGAACTAAGGGGGTGGAGGATGTTCCTGGGGACCCAGTGTGGGGTCCAGAGCCCTGAGAAGGGGGCTGAGAGTCTGTGGGCCTGTTGAGGCACAAAGAGAGCCCTGAGAGAAGGTCTGAATGCCTGGGCCTTGTTGAGAGGCCAGACAAGCCTAAAGGGGGGCGGGGGAGTGCACAGGGGCCTAGTGAGATATCAGGCAAGCCCTGGGAAGGGCTGCAAGTTGGTGGGCCTGTTGAGAGGCCGGGAGGGCTCCCAGTGGTTAGCAGCCCAGGAGGGACATTGGCCACCTAGGGCAAGCCCAGAGAGTAAGCAAGATCTGATAGGCCTGAAGACCAGTCCTGTGTAAGACCTGAAACTGCACCCTACTGGGGCTGGTTAGCATAGTGGGGCTACCTGTGGCAGGGTAGTTTCCATGAAATGCCATACATGGGCCACTCCAGGGAAAGGCAAAGATGGGGCACCAGAAAGCCTCAGCTCCCACTGCCTTGTGAGTGACCCTGTGGAGGGTGAAGGCTAGGGGAGCACACCCCTACAGAAAAGCACACAGCAGGGAAAACCATGTGGGCCACGAGGGTCCAGAGGCCCAGTGAGGGACCAGGGAAGACCAGGATCATGTGAGTTCAGCAGCCCAGTTAGGGGCTGGGGAATAGAGGGTAGGACCAAAGAGATCCAAGACCTGGAGTTGTGAGGCCCAGTGAAGGACCTGAGGCCTATAGTGAGGCCCAGCAAGCAGGGTGAGACCAGAGGGGTCCAGCAGCTTAGCATTGGGCTGGGAATGGAGTGCAGGGCCAGACAAGTCTGAGGGACAAGGGACCAGAGAAGAGCTGACAACCCGGAGAGGGGTTGGGAGAGACCGAGGGGCCTAGTAGCCCAAAAAATGGTTGGGTGAGACCAAGGGGTCTGGGGTGCCAGAGGAGAGACTCCAAGGGGTTTGGCTACCAGAGTGGGGCTGAGAGGCCACAGGGTTGGAAGGCCCAGTGAGGGGCTGTGTTACCAATTGGTTGAACATCTGTAAGGATGCCATCTGTGAGGCATGGGACATGGTGATGGGGAAGTATGGATCCATGCAATTGGCCCACAAGTCCATGACTACAATCCAGGTGGTCATTATAGGAAGACCAGGCCAGCCTCCCTATTTATTATTATATTTCCATCAAGGTGTGGCAGGCGAGACAGGAAGGCCCCTTAGGAAGGCATGGTTGTGGAGCCACGGCCCCCCTTGGGACCCCAACCTTGTGACATCCTCCAAAAATGTATATGCAGATGAGGCACAGAGCAACCTAATCAAGCCCCGCCTCATGGAAGGTCGGGTCAAATTAATCCTGTGCAACAGGCTGAGAAAGGGGGCAACAAAGGGCTTCTAGGTAAACTGTTTAGGGCCCTGTTTGGTAATGAGGGGCAGACATTTAATACTGGTGAAGAAGCAGGAATCATTAGATATGGGAAAGAAAGGCACAGCTCAGCTGTGGAAGTGAAGAGGAAGTTGAAATGTATTCAGTGTCGTGGCTCACCATGACTTTTTTAAAAGAGTCAGTGTTGAGGGGAACTGAGTGCAATGGGTAGTACCATATATTTTATTCAGATGGGCTGCACTAACCTATCCTTGTAGTACATTCCCATTGGCATCACAGCCTTTTTGGCTGAGATCAAATGTAGCACCAAGGGGAAGGTGTTAGGGCTGGCTCTAGCCCTCCTTTTGCCAGCCTGGTATTTCAGTACACACTCTCGCGCTCTCTTCCCATCAGTATGTTTGCCCAGTATGGATCAGGTGTTTCTCCTTGGTGGAGGAGATATGGTGATCTTCTTGGCCTTGAATGATTCAGTGTATTTAGAAAGTGAAGACCTGTCCGTTGCATTTAGAGAGTGAAGACCTGTCCACTTCTCCCCTGCATTGCAGGCTGACCGCTGCAAGAGTCTACAAATGCGTCCAATGGGAGGATCTTGGCTATACAATTTATGGCCACGGGAGATTGCTCTTGGGCTTTCCCTCTAGTTTGCTCCTTCAGCCTTTTGGGGGCATCTGAACTCCAAGGCCTTCAGGCTTGGGGCATGCACATAGGATGCCTGCCATGGATTTGGGAGTATCTGAAGCCCCAGGCTGAAGAGTGTGGGAAGTAGAATACTTACGGGTGGTAGCGCCACACAGACTCAAACAATTGAGCTCTGCTCAGTCAAAATTTGGAACTTAATTTGGAACTAATTTGGCATTGGAAATTTTTTAAAAATGTGTTTTATAGTCATACTCAGTATTGGCTGCATTTAATCAACTTCAGGCACATGCTGCTTTTGGCAGCAGTTTAGTTATAGTGTATTTAATGAGGTCTCCTTGTATGCAAATACATGAGGGGCTTTTTTCCCCATGCTGACTGGGGGAGAGGGGGATGCATCTTGTATTTGAATAAATACAGTATCGTATTTCCATTTGCAGTTTCAGTGCTCAAAACCTGTTCTCATAGTATCTCTTTTTAGGGGAAAGAAATCAACATCACAGAAAATAAAGTTTAAAACCTAATTATTATCTGTTCCTAGTAAATTAAGTATAACTTTCACAGAGTAGCAATTGAATGCCCATCTCCCCTGCATAGATTGACCCAGCAGCTGGTAAGAATTTTATTATATAGGCGCCACCTGTGGCTTTGTATTTAAGGTTGTGTATTTAAGGTAGGATTAAGATAAGATTTAGGTTGTGATGGATGAAAAGTGTTATTTGTCCTAATCAAAATTATACCATCTACTCTTAGAGTAGAGGTTTAATATTCTGCAAAAGTGAAAGCAAATAAACCCACTGGATTAGAAATTCAGAGTTGCAAAGTTACTGTCTTTGAAAAGCAAAAATGTATGTGTGGTATCACAGAGTTTGTGTATGGCTTTGTTTTTAGTACTTGAAATTTCACATGGAAGTAAGTCCAAGAAGTACTTTGTATCCAGGCCTTTTAAAAGCAGCAACCGTTATTAGCATTTTCAGTTCCTATTGAATATCTCTGAACTACAGTGGCCTACAGATAAAGAAGTATTTATCAGCAAGTGAAAAGGGGAGGGGGGAATTGAATAGGTTACCTATCAAGTTCCAACAAAGGAGAGTAACTACGCTTAAGACCGGGGTGGGCAAAATGCGGCTCGGGAGCTGGATGCGTCCTGCTAGGCCATTCTATCCAGCCTGCGGGGCCTCTGAAAAATTTAGAAAATTAATATTTATCTGCGCTGGGCTGCCTGTCATGCGGCCCTTGATGGCTTGCCAAAACTCAGTAAGCAGCTGTCTGCCCAAAATAATTCCTGCCCCTGGCTTAAGAGCTTCAAAGGCCAGGTACCCGCTCCGGTGGCACACCCTAGAGTCTTTGAAAATTGGGCTGCTGTTCTACACAGTTACTTAGGCAGAGCCCTTGTGCTGTGACTCGTAGGAGGTATTCAAGTTCAGGTATTCATTTTCCATGTCCAACAGATGCCTGGACTAAGCTAGTGTCTTAAACCAATTCTGAAGCAAGAGGGAAGCATCCTGGGAAGGGGGGGG